GGGGGGGGGGGTGTCATCGGAGAGACAGACACACATCTAAGCCGCGCGCTGTTTGTACCGACAATTTTCCAGTGGCGGGGGTGCGTTCAGCATGAGGGAAGAGGCTGCCTTTAGCTTTTTAGCTAGCATTTTAGCTAGCACACCTGCATTGCGAGCTGCTAGTTTAGCGCTACGTCAGTGCAGACAGGTGGGCGGGGTTGGGGTTCGGTAGGTGGGGCACTCTGTTCTGTTGACGGGGCGGGGCGCCCCGCTTGTGTAATGGTAGGGGAAACTGCTTCTACCTTAGCAATACAGTAGTCCTTCGTTTATTGCGGGGGAGCCGCACCATGACGCCTGAAGTGAAAAACTGATTATTGTACGGCTTTATCAAAGATCTCCCATGCAGGTGTCAAAATACAGCTCTTGTGTTCTTGAGACGCCTACGACTCTTTGGGACAACATTTGCCTCAAATTATTTTTAAACATTGAAACTCAAGATGCAGCCTCAGTTTTGCTAATTGCTAACACCACATTAACTTGTGTAAGGAATTTGCAAACCCCTGCAAATGTTTTGAGACACTTTAGAAACTCCCAACTGTTGCAGTTTAGTGAGTCACTTGTTGCACGCCTTGTGGCCCCGATCAAAGTGTCCATTGGTTTTACTTGAACTGTTGCGCCGCTCGTAAAAAAGGTATTTAAAGGTAAAAACTGACGCCTTGCCTCTTGCGCCTCACTTCCTACCAGAGCTCATTTAATGTTGGAGCACTAGAGTTTTATAGTGAGTGGATGTGCTTAGCAGTGGGAACCACATGGGGCCTTTTACCAGCGCTTCCCTTCAGTGAGGCCAACAGAGCAGGAGGTCGTGGCTCAGAAGCACTTTGTTCCCTGCAAAACGCTCTTCGGTGGAATTCGATGGAGGGAAGACGTGTCGAGATGCCCTGATTGTGCGGGAACAGCGTGCACCAACACATACACTGCCGAGCCGATGCACATTTCACTTTCAGAATATCTCTACGCACACTATGTAAGGACAAAGAAACGAACGAGTTCAACAGGCGTGAACTTGCCTACGTGCACTTGAACTGCACGCACGTTTTGCTACCAGCTGTTGGTGCTGAGCGGGACGCCCCCTACACAGAAATGTCAGCGCGGCGGGGAGCTGGGAAAAAAGGGTTTGATCAATGGAGCTCCGCTCTCGATGGCCACGCCGCTCTGCAAAGCTCTTTGATTACATATTGCTTTGCTTCCTAATGAAGCTCAATTACTGAAAGAGGACGACGGCTCTGCCCTGGAGTTACAGCGAATAATAGCTGCGGCTCCTGTACCTCGCTCAGCTTCGCCCTCATTGGTCTTTTTTCTGCAGTTTTAATTCTCTCTGGCTGATTCCTGCTCCGATGGTCACTTTGCCTTCCATGCTAATCTGTCCAGCTCATCCTGGAGTGAGAAGGACTGACGTCGAGGAAACACGTGGACTCGCAGGAACACAGTTAATGTTCAACTAGGCCTGTTGCGATAAACAATAAATCAATTAATCGCACGATGAATGAAAATTATTGACCTCATTTTCATTTATCGGCTGTATCGTTGCTTCATGTCTCTCTCTTTCTACTGAAGACACTTGATGACAAAAAGCTCAACTCCAGTGTTCTTCACTGACCTCTCCCTTTCTCTTTAAAATCTGTTTTAACCGTCAAAAATGGCGTTTTTTAGAAAGCAGCTAAGCTAAAAGGCCGACCTCGGGAAACAAACCTCCGTCTTGTCAACGCTCTAAAATTCATGGTTGAAACCCGTGCCTTTACGTGAAGTTTTTTCCTCTGAAAAAGAAGCTGAGAACTTGTTTACTGATTTTTTTTTTTTTATTATTAAAAGCTTTGTGTGAAAAATGCTATGCTAAACAGCTCAAACCACAACGAGCGTCCGCCATTTTGAGAACAGAAAAACAGGAACAAGAGACAACCCATGTCACGTCAAGTGGCCTCCCTCTCGCTTTTCTTAAAGAGACACTGCTCGCTCCCTCACTATCCATCCTCCGGTTCAAACTCTTATACTGACATCCAGTGGTCGGAAAAAGGTACAACACACAAAAATTAACCAACATTTCTTCTTAAATTTGACAATAATTACTAATTATTGTCAAATTTCAAACAATATTATTTATCGCAGTAATTTGTGAGACAATTAACTGCCTGGCAAAATGTGTTGCTGTGACAGGCCTATGTTCAACAAACACGAGAAGCTCGTTTAACTTTAGCTTTCCTTTACGTTCAATGAATTTGAACCCAGCATGTAGATGGGTAGTTTTTAAAACTTCCACCTAAATGGCTCCACAACAGGAACCGTACATACATTCAAGACTTGCAAATGAGATCTAGATCTGTGGGGTTTTCAAACTATACATTAAATGAACCCGATCAAGCTGAATACCTGCCTCTACTCTATAATTAGTGACTGAACCTTTTTCAAAACCACTCAACTGCACGTCTGTTTCATGGGATACAAGACAAAACACAAATTATTATTATTTTTTAACGTTTCTGAAGAAATGGCTCAGCCAGGATCTTCCTGGGCTGTGACTACGACCAGTCTGTTTGTGAGGGAGTGCAACTTCCTCGCAAAAATTGTGCAGAAGTTGTTGCTCGAAATATGAACGTGTTCAAACGCATCGTGCAACAAAACTTCTCTCGACAGTTGCAGGGTTGTCGTAGGAGTTTAGCTTTTGTAAAAATGGAGCCGAGTACCACAAACGGCACATTTTACGCTCGCAGACAAACCGTTATACAGCGATCTATAGAAATGGCCTGGACAAAAAACAACAACTTTGACCTTGATTTGTGACCTTGACCTCAAGCTGGGGTGATGAAACATGTACACAACGCTCCATCTAGAGATGATGCACACGTGTATGAAGTTGTGGGCGGGACAGCAGAACGTTTACGTACGTACAGATTAACGGAGACTGTACCACCAAACATCCTGCCTTCGACCCGCGTTTAAAAATCATAATTTGTAACATCAAGCATTAAGTCGTAAACTGAAAATTTGACTTTTTAACGGCTTCACATGAGCTTTCAGTGGAGTCTGTGTTACGGTTTAGATCTGAGGTCATACCTTTAATTTCTCCGATGTGCCCTGAGCCCATGGCCAAAAGTTTATCCTTCCAGTCCTTTGACAACAGCCTCTCAATGCTCGGGGCCTCTGTTCAGGGGAGGAGTAGGGATTGGGGGGGAGTGGGGGGGAGGTTCAGAGGAGAGAGAGAGGGGGGGATTCAGATGGCTGGCCAACATGACAATAAAGCTCATTTAAAGTCCATTTGCTGTAATAAAGGCAGCGGCAGCTCAGCCTAATGGCCGCATCAGCAGGAGAGACGGGAGAGAGCGGCGGAAGGAGAGAAGCTGATAATCGAAAAGAGAGCAAATCTGAAAAACAAAAACAAGTGAGCAAAAGGGAAAGAGAGTGAGGGAGACAAGTGGAGGACGGAGGGAGACAGACAGAGGCTTTTTCCCCCCTCTCACCTGCTGCTAGAGAATCATTAGCCCTGTGGGCCCCGAGACAAAGAGGGCCTTAATGCACCCGCCACAATGGACACATTATCAGCTAGCGCTTTGTTTTCAACACACACTTCACACAGTCCCTTACACACTCGCAGAATCCCTAATTACACTCCTAACTATGCTCACATTTGTGCACAGATGTACACACACACACACACACACACAGCGGGGCGGGGTGGTGGAAATGTCACACAGGAGAGCACATGCATGATGAGTTTCAATTGTAAATGTGCACACGCGGACCAATAAAACCTGGACTCTGCTACGTTTCAACATTTTCAGCTTCTTCTTTTAGATCCTGGAAAGATTTTTAAAGCTTCAACAAGCGATCGGAACATTTTTGGCTTCTTACAAAGACCAATGGCCTTCTAGGGCTAATTGTCGACCGTTATCGAAAGACTGTTTTTGATGCACGTCTAAAACTGATTAACTTTTGGAGTAGATCAGATTCAGGATGACCGTTGCAGCAAACTGATCTTAGCCGGCACATAAAGGACTTGAATTTGGTGGTGAAGTGATCCTCAACTTGTACTCTGAGCACCGTGACTTACATCAAGAAGGACAATAAAGCTCAGACAGCGAGCTGCACGATGCACAAACGAGGGCGAAGCCACGAGCAGGTGCAGAAAAAAAACAAACACCTCAGACCAAGCTGAGAAACAAAGATGCCGTTTCCCTTCAGAATAAACGGGCCTAAATTAAACACGAAGATGACCGTGTTGAGCTGAACAACTTTCTCTTCACTAAAACACACTTTCATCGAACGCACTTGGCAACTCGTTTATTACTCCATCAATCATTCGCACACACCGTGCCAACTTTTTAAACATTTTGGCTCCGCTGCAAAAAGAGAGAAAACGAAGCGGCAAGAATGGCAGAAGAGACCGCCGGGATTTAAAAGTTACCTTTGATTAAACACCAGTAAATAACAAAGATGCACACACACACACACACACTGTGTGTGTGTGTGTGTGTGTGCCTACGGCCTCCCCTGAGGCTTGAATCTGCTCCTTTGCTCCGACTTCCAGACAAGAGCATTCACGCCCCACTGATTACAATGGACACACACACATGCACACACACGGTCAAAGATCAATGCGTTAAGTTCAAGCCTGGCCGCCCCTCACTTCCTCTTCCTCTCTCTGCCACCCTCGGCCGAGGTCTGCAGAGCTCGGACCCCCTCTGGGAGCTGGTTGGTGGAGTGATGAAGGTACGATGAAGAGGAGGAGCTCAGCTGATGGAGAATCTTCAGCAAAAACAAGGAGTGAAAGACGAAATGCTCCTGCGGTTCTCCCTACGGCAGCTGCCTCGCCATCACCCCAACAGGTGCTATTAGCCCCTGGCACTCCTTTCTCTCAGTCCCTTACCCCCCCTCCACCCCCCACCCCCCTTCCTTCAACAATGACAGAGGCTTTTAAGCCAAAGAGCTTTGACAAGTGAGAGGGAACAACAAATGGCCGTGTCGCCTGTTCTCCCTCCACTGCACTCCGTCTCCATCTCCTAGTTATTATTTTTATTTATTAACAGGGCTGCAGCCATTGTCCCCAGTGACAGGCCGGGGCCACTTTAACTATTAATAAAAGCCAAGAGGCTCTTTCATTGTGTGGCGGACGACGAAAATGGGAAGAAATGGGCAGGAGGAGCCGAGAGAGAGGAGGAGAGGGGCGGAAAGAGGCTGGTGCATCTTTTAGAGCAATGTTGTGAGAAATTAACCTCCCCCGTCACCTGGGAGAAAATCCAGCAAACACACACATTCAGCTAAAAGGGGACATCACCTGTCTATTAGTTTCTCATGGTGGCTGTTTGATGGGTTACAATCCTGCCATGTTTCAGGTGCAACAACACATCTGGTTCTTGAAAGCTTCCCCGTCAAACTCTTATTATCTTCATCAGAAGGGAAAGCACTTAATTCAAATTTAGAGTCCTGGTTAGGAAAGAGTGAACATCTTCTGTTGCCAATCAAGACCAAAAAAAAAAAAAAAAACGAGCGGTCCATCGCTGAGGGATTTGAAAAGTGAATGTAGCTTTTGAGATGAGTGTTTTTCTGGACTGGAATTAAACTAAACTTTAATGTTTTTGGTGCAAGATATTCAAGTGGGTAGGAGTTGCACTGTGGAGAAGAACAGAGGTAGTTATTAATATTTTTTATATTGTCCAGGGTGATGGATCCTGGAGTGGAGGGAGAAATTTTATCCACCACCAGGTGCAGTGGTGGAGCCAGGGGGTGGCCAGTGGTGGCCACAGAATAATCTTCAGCTACCCAAAGACATGTACGGTAGTCCCTGACTTATTGCAGGGGTTACGTTCCAGACACTCCAGCGACAGGTGAAAATGAGCAAAGTAGGCACGTTATATTTATTTTAGTATTTGTATATTTTTTAAGGCTTTATTAACCTTATGGTGGTGCAGTAAGTTTGGCCTCGGATGTAACGTCTCTTCGTTTGAATGATGAACATACCGTATTTTCTGCTGTGCACGTCACACTGCCCTATAAGTCACATCAGTCCAAATATGTCCAATAAAGTGCAAAAATCCATAAATATGTCGCATCTATTATGCGTCACCGCTGACGACCTGGAAATGTGGGCCGGTGTTGTGCCAAAAATCGAAGGGCTGCCAAATGGTGGCCGCGTTAGCGTCCACTGGAGGACTTTAATATGAATTTAACTAGACGAACACTTAAACTATTATTTGTTTGCTCAAAGTTATAGAAAAGGGGCGTCTCAGTTTAACCTTTCCTTAATAAATGCACTTTAACGTCAAATCAGCTGCATTTCCTCAGGGCGGCGCAGCGAAGAAGCTGATTTGACGGTTGCTCCAGACGAGCTGGACAAAGGTGGCAGGCTATGGCAAGCCAATTGTGTCATTAATAGTCACTTTTCCCTATTACATGACACAACGGCATGCCATACTGCTCGAGTGCCATCTAGCGGCTGAAAATTGTAGTGTTCAATGTTTTCAGTCAGAATTAATGAAAACAGTCATATCTCGGTAAAAAATTGGTTTATAAATATGGGGGGGGAACCAAATAAGTTGCTTCAGCGTATAATTTCGCCAAATTAGGCAAAAAAGTGACTTGTAGGCTGTAAAATATGGTAGTTATGGGGAGTTGCCGGTGCTCATTCTTCTGAGTGAGAATGCTTTTGTAAGCTGACACAGCACTGTCGATTGTATTTGTGAACTGCGAAAGAGAGCAGACAGACTGATGCTACGGTTACTGAGCCAATCAGCGCCCGGGATACAGAGCACAATGCTCTGATTGGTCACCTTCATCAATCAGTGCGTCATGTACGATCTTACGTTGAAAACCTGCGAAACGGTGAGTCCGCGAAAGTCTAGGGGCGTCTGTAAACGGCTTGGACTTTGACGTGGAAACCAAATTTTCAATAGAGATCTTTCTTCTGCCTAGATGCAGCCACACACCAAAATGGAAGTTGGTGCCTCACTTATTGTTCAAGTTATCATCCTCACACCACGGATGAATAGATGGATGGAGGGTATTTCCAATTCCCCTGTTCGCTCTGCGACAGAAGACACACACAAAAAAACCAACTAAATAACTGAAGAAAGCTCAATCTACTCCCTGTTCTGACATAGACTGCGAGTGTGTGTGTGTGAGGTAAGTTTGGTGCCAATGCGGGGCGTGAGCTGCATACTTGCAGGGTGGAGTGTCATGAGCTAAAGGCAAAGGAGGACACCCACCCACCCCTCACAGAAACTGACGTTTACACAAGACACATACCTCTATGTTCATGGGAATCCTTTCAAACACAAGTTTACGTTCAAGCCAAGCATTATTTACAGGACTGCTTATCCATCACTGGGGGATGTGCAGGGGGGTTTAGACTAAAATATGTCAAAGGGACAATTGTAGCCGGTTAAATGCTGAAAATAAGGTTGTGACTCTCAGGTATTAATACACCAAGTTTTAACTGTACGTCTGTGAAATTGATAGTTGTAGCCATTTTGGTGTTGGCTAATGGTTTATAGCTGTGGCTGCTAAAACTGTGCTGACTCGAAAAGTTGATCATTTGTAGATGAACATAATTACTTTGTGAGAATTTCAATAAAATCTGAAGATATTTTGCTGACAAACAGGGTTGACTCTCTTTCACACACCACACCAAAACAATAAATCGTGAAATATGTTTTTTTTTTTATTCTGTATGAGGTAACTCCAGCTCCTTATTAAAACTGTATGATGTGTAATCTGAAGGAAACATCCAAACCTCAGACGTCAACGTTTCCTCAAATTCATGTTTGGCACCTCCTGGCCTCCGACTGATCGGAGGATTAAGCGGTTGCAGAAAAGCCTCCTTCCTCATCGTGACTGCACGACGTGTCTGACGAGGACCCCTGCTGCTGTTTGTGTTTTCATGTGTAAGAGCGCAAAGTCATCCGAGGGTGACGTTTCTGAAACGGATCCCAGCCGGCTGAGAGGGGGATTCTGGGAAAAGAGGGGGGGGGGGGGGGGCGCGCTGACGATAACCCTGGAATCGTCGGCTATTATTTTGGCTCATTGGCTCAAACGGAGTCAAGCTGCTGCCCTGCAGTCGAGCCAAAACAACCCGTCCACCTGCCCAGAGAGGAGAGACGAACGGTGTGTGTACGAGTGTGTCGGAGCGACCCCCCACCCCCCACCCC